TCACAGCACCTGTCAACCTCTCCACTGCCTGGTGGGATTTTTGAACTAACACTACGGAGTCTGTGAGCGGCTCTCTCCATGGTCTCGCTGCTGCACTGATCCATCCATCTTAGTGAACTGCGATCCTGCTCCTCTGCTTGCCTTCTTATTCCATATGCTGAGTTTTAGATGCAAGTCTTCTGTAATAAAGTTTATTACTGTTTCTACTCACCCTGACTTGGCGCACTCCTTTCGCTTCTGCTTTTGTTGCTTTGCAGCCTGAAATAAAGACTGACACAGTTTTTGTTATATCCAGCTGTATGTACTCTGTGATCAGCTTTTGTTTTTTTTGTTTTTTTGCCATATTGAGATTATATCTTTTACTTGGATTTCATAAGTTGTATTGTTGAAAGTCATATGGCTTTGTGTGCCATTGAGAAGGTGATAAGCCACACCTGACAAGTTGTTTTTAGGAGGAGGGTTGATCTTTTTTCCAACTCAGTGATTCTGTTTTTGAATTTAGTTTTTTTCTGACATGTTTGTGTTATATCTTTCACTTGGATGTTATAAGTTGCACTGAATGAATACAGCTGGATATTACACTTTTTGGTGCACTTGTTGAGCAGCTGGCACCCACACTTTGGGTGCCATTAACATTTAATTGCAATGGAAGTGCCATTTCAAAAACCTGCAGCAAAGGATGTGAATGTAGACTTATTGTTCTTGAGTAAACACACCAATTTCACAATGTTTGCCTTGGAAAGGCATGTAACTGCAGAGGTGGGGGAGCAATCTTCTGGATGTGGCAGGTGTAGGGTGTGCGTTAACCACTTGCCCTCCTGAGTATTTACCCCCTTTCCTGACCAGGCTATTTAATGCGTTACAGCACTGCGTTACTTTAACTGACAATTGCACGGTCATGCAACGCTGCACCCAAATGGACCGGTTTTAATTTGTTGCGCTATAAAAAAAAAAAAAGTCCGACAAAATTACTTTTTATCAAAAAAAAAAAAAAAAAAAAAAAAAAAAAAAAAAAAAAAATCACATTTCGTCATAAATTTACACCAAAATGTATTCTGCTACATGTCTTTGGTAATAAAAAAAAAAGAAATCCCAATACGTGTAAATTAATTAGTTTTTTTGAAAGTTATAGTGTTTACAAATGGCGGCATATATACTAGGATTTTTTTTTTTTTCATTTTTACTAGTAATGGTGGCGATCTACGACTTATAGCGAGACTGTGGAGGACATCCGACACTGGGGGGAACTGACTTGGTGTCACTGACATCCCCAGTGACATCAATACAGTGATCAGTGCAAAAAAAAAAGAAACCCTCAAAAAGCCTGACACTTTACTAATGGAAGTGGGCAGGGAGGGTTTAACATGAGGGGCGATCAAAGGGTTAACTGTGTGCAGGGAGTGTTTTACTAGGGGGCACGATATTTGTGATTCACTATAATCACACTGCTGTCCACAACGTCCACCCGGTGATTGACAGCCGCGGCTGGCAGAGCGGGTAAGGTTCGCGCACACCCTCTACCTGGAAATGCAAAATCACGTACATACACACACGTGATTTTGCACACCGCTGTCGCCCTGTAGCAGGATTTCTGCTATAGGGCGGTCGGCAAGCAGTTAATGAGGTCAGCTGGTGAAGTACTTCCTTGTCCTTGTAACGTTTTTTTCTGACCCAAATACCAAATTTTAGAAAGGAGCAGGAAGTAATGGAGGAGTTTTCTATTGAACACACTGCAGGCTAAGGCAAGGCCTGTCCTAAAAGACAGAGAAAGTTTTTTCTTTCTGTGACAGAGGTACATTAATAGCATATTGGTAGACAAGGAAGCTGTAATTTAGAAAAAAAAATGTTAACAGCCTTTAACACAGTAGATGTGAGGAAGAGTCATCCTACCTCCTAGGACCTAAACAAAAACTGAGACACGATAGTTGGATGCAAGGATATATTGGGGCTGACTTTACATCTTGTCTTGTCAGTGTTCAAACCTCGTGTAGGCAGCAGTATAACCAACATGTCCAAGACTTTCAGTAATACAAACCTGTGTTCCTTGATGAACGATAAACAAACGCTCTCACCGTTTTGCATCTCAGTGCTGATGATTTCTTCATGCTCTGTACTCATAATACGCATGAGCTCCAGCATCAGCTGCACATCATTACTCTAATATCAACAAGTTGTAGGTTATACCAGGGACATGTGTAACAGGGTGACAGTCCAGAAGCACATATGGAAGACAGCTGTCACACCATAATAGGAAAAAAACCAAAAACCTACATGGCAGGATCACAGGTATCATTTTAATGAAAGCCACATATCTAAGTATACTGAATACAACTTTTGTTAAAGCATGTATGAGATTTTAATGATGGATTTCGATCTAAAGTTAAACTAGAGCCCAAACTTTTTTTTATCTATTTTGGATAGAGTTATAGAGGGTTATAACCCCTGCCAGGTTTTTTTTTTTTTTTTTTTGCCATCTGTGTCTCATTGCAGAGATTTCCCCTCACTTCCTGTCCCATAGCCAAACAGGAAGTGAGAGGTAATCCTTACAAAGCAAGGAAATTCCTTGGGGACCCCTTGGTCACCAGAACTACTGGCTCCATTGGAAGATTTCCCCTCTACCAAATTTTGGGTTGTGCCCAGAAAAGTAATATTTTCTTTCAATGATAATGGTAAACAGGACAAATAGAGAGGGTGAATCTCCCTAACCAGGGAAGATCTCTACGAACAGCATCGCCCCTCCTGCACTTATTATACAGGCTTTCATCTTTGCCTCACTGACCGAACGACAGGCTGCCTGACATGCCCCGGGGGCCCCGCCCCCATCCCCTCTTCTGTTCACATCCCACCCCCACTTTTTTTTTTTCTTCCTTGGTCCCCCCCCCTTCTTTACACCCAGTCCTTTACGCCTTTAACTACCAGTGCACGATCTTTGCACTTCTGTGACATGACCTAACAAGTCACTCATGCAGATGATACCGTGTCTGTTTGGTTTTCTACTGTTGGGCATCTGCCAGCTTCTGATGCTATTGTCTGATTCGTTATTTTCTCTGGCTGAAACGAATTTCTGAAATTGTATTAATGCCTTTTCTACCCATAACTGACACGGAGATATGTTTTTGTACTGATTGTACTTATTCATGTCAGATAGTTTATGTAACGTTTTTCTTGTTTTTTTTTCCAATAAAGCTTTATGGGGGAACCCCCCCCCCCAAAAAAAAAAAAAAAAATGAGCAGCAGTCTCTTTATTTCTGCAGAAAAACAAATTGCCTGCCTGTTTGAAATCTTTTCTATTATATACACTGAACTGTGCATGTACAGTTCGGTGTACATTCTCGGCACACATTGTCCATGCATGCTCATTAGAGTGCATTCCTGTGCCAATCTGTCATTACCCAGCTGGCCAATGAAGACCGCCTAAGATATGGCACCTGGAAGATGATGTCTGAACCGTCCAGGAACCTCCTGGATATTATATCATTGAAGCGGAGGTATTTATGGGTTTAGTTTCGCTTTAACTCCCTTATATACAAATGTTTTGCCACCAAAATGTAAAACATGAATGTCATCATTGGATATTGCTATCAGCAAGGATTTTTCTCTAGTCCTGTATTGTTATCTGCTTAGGACAGGATTGTTCATGCAAAATGTCTGCCTTGTTTTTGTAACGCTTTAGAAATTAAAATAGAACTAAAGCTGAACTCCACAAATTATCTGTATTGCATGTTCAGCATATATGTATAATGCATATCTCCCAATGGGCCACTGTGGAAGCTAAAAATCACTGTAGTAGTCAGTGCTTTAACAGTGTTGGCCGCATTCTTCCATGACCTACATGAGCTGCTTCCCCTCTGCACATCACAGAGGGTCGCACGCTCGCTCGCTCAGCACCGCCAGCATTCATAAAATGCTGTGTGCTCCGAATTTTTGGACACGGTCAAGATAATGATGTCAATGTTCCACCTTGCCCAATCACAGAACACCTTGTATTCATAGAAAAAAAAAAAAAATGAACGGTGGAACTGCTAAGCACCAGATTCCCTTATTTGATGAGGGAAGCTGCTAGCACAGAACCCAAGCTTCACGAGTAGCCCATCATAGTATGCATACTTACACTGTGCCAAGCTGGACCAATTTAAGTACGCAATACATAAAATTCCTGGTGTTCAGCCTAAAATAAAATCACCTATAACGGTCAGCACATGAAGTTGTTTTCCTCAGAAATTAAGACACAAACAAACATTTTCATGAAATCTAGGAATAATTTCCTCTTATTTACAGACATCTAGCAACACATTCACAACACAATTAAGGATATATGACAGATGCATGAAGCTAGAGGTGCACAAGAGCTGAAGGTAAAACCATGTCTGTTTATTTCATGTGCATCAAATGAAACAAAGACTGTGATAAATTCAGTCTTACAAGAGCAAGTCTCCAGTTCTAAAGTCTTTTCCTTGTAGATTTATTCTTTAAAAAAAGGAAAGAATGTACCCAGTACTCATTTTAACAGGGAGCATGTCTGTTTAACGTTTATTGAAGAATGCAGAAGTTTTCTGTAGAAATCAAAAATGATAATGAAGGTATGGCCAAAATCTATCAAATTCCTTGAAAATTTGCAGTCTTTAAATAGTTATAAGAATGACCAATATATATTCTTTGTTACAACTCCCTCTCTAGCGGTAAAAAAAAGGGAAAAAAAAACATTCAGTAAACATTCTCTCCTAAGGAACTTTTTCCCTTATTTCAGTGATTTTGCCATTTTCTTGTTTACAATTTCTAAACATACCAATCAGTGGTTCTCACAACTGAAAAAATAAAAGCACAAAAAAAGTTTACACTCTTTTACAGGTAAAAGATCATCTTGAATTAAACTGTATATCCTTAAGGGCATATAGTTTTAGCTTCATTAACTATTACATAAGTAGCTTCTTACATACAAATATGGACATATTTGGCTGTGCTTCAAAGCCTGTTTGTAATAAAGTCCATGCCGCTGCAGCTCAGAATTTAAAGTCACTGGCGTTGTCTTTACTGCTGCTGGGTTTGGCCTGTTCGTGCAGTGTGGTCTCCTCACAGCTTGCTGTGGCAAGGCATTTTTCTGTAGAATCATCAGCATCTGGGTCCAAGCCTTCAGGGCACTGGAGCTTTAAGAGCTCTTCTCGTAGCTGAGCCGTATGTCGCTACACACAAAGCACAGGAAGAGTATGGTCAGCATGTCAGTGTAATAAATTGTTCTCTCTAGATCCACAAAGCAAAATGTGCATGGAAGTCGCTGTGCAAACAAAACAGACATCATAGAGCCCCAGGACTAGCACAGATCAACAGGTGAAACCATGCTGATCATGCAGGAAACAAACACAGCAGTGTTACTACTGTAAATGTTTTCCTACAAAAATTATTTTCAAGCAGAGCTGGCTATTGTTTGTGTGTGTGTGTATATATATATATATATATATACGTATATATATATATATACATACATACATATACATACATACACACACACATATATATATATATATATATATATATATATATATACACACACATACATATTTGTTACAAAATATACTTTATGCACAGTTGTGCTTGTGCTCAAATGTTTGCACACTCTTGGAGAATTGGTAATATACAGTAACATGAGTGAGCAGACAAAACAAATATGAACAAATGGAATATAAATCTTTTGGGATTTATATTCCACTCTATGTCATAATAGAATGGCACAATCCTAAAACAAAACATGGCAACAAGTAAACAAAGGAAACTAACCCTGTTCAAAAGTTTGCATACCCTTAGTTCTTAATACTGAGTATTGCCCCCTAGCATCAATGACAGCTTGCAGTCTTTTGCAATAGTTGTCTATGACGTCCTGAATTCTTGCAGGTGGTATAGCTGCCCATTTGTCCTGGCAAAATTCATTCAGGTCAGGTAAAGACTTTGATATTACGGTCAAGAGACTGTAATGGCCACTCCAGAACCGTCACCTTTTTCGGCTGTAACCACTGGAGGGTCAACGTGGCCTTGTACTTAAGGTCATTGTCGTACTGGAAAGTCCAAGAGTGTCTCTCAATTCTTCTGGTAGTTGTGGCTGCAAACTTGCTTGATCTACTTTACCTTAGCATCAAGAAATCCCTGAATTTTCCACTTCTTAAGTGCTGGAACAGTACTGACTGGCTTATTGAAGGCTTAGGATATCTTTTTATATCCTATTCCATCTTTATAAAGTTGCACAGGTCTTTTGACCGTTCTTTCATGCTCCCCATGGCTCAGTATCTAGCCTGCTCAGTGCATCCATGCGAGAGCTAGCAAACTCATTTAATATTTATACACAGACACTAACTGCAGTTTAAAAAGCCACAGATGTGGGAAATTAACCTTTAATTGCCATTATAACCTGTGTGTGTCACCTTGAGTGTCTGTACCAAGGCCAAACATTCCAGGTTATGGAAGTTTAGGGTCAGAGTTATTTGGCTCCTTTTTAAATCAAAATAACAAAAATCATCCTAACAACTGTGTGATAATAAATGGCTTCATATAAGCACTATTCGTACATAAAAGACAGTTTTTTTTTGCATGACCGGTCATATTTTTAATATCAATGCCAACATTTCATGATTTCTGCAAATTTTTGAGCACAAATTATATTATACACACACACTGCTCAACAAAAATGAATCAGAGTATAGCATCAAGTCAATTAAACTCCTGTGATATTGATCTGGTCGGACAAGTGGCAGAGGGGGTTGTTAATCAGTTTCAGCTGTTTTGGCGTTCATGAAATTAACAACAGGTGCACTAGATGGGTAACAATGAAACAACCCCCAAAATGGGAATGGTTTTACAGGTGGATGCCACTGACATTTTTTTCCCTACTCATCTTTTCTGACTGTTTTTTCACTAGTTTTGTTACCATTTGAATAGGGTCAATGTCACTACTGGTAGCATGAGGTGATACCTGGACCCTACAGAAGTTGCACAGGCAGTCCAATTCCTCCAGGATGGCACATCAATACGTGCCATTGCCAGAAGGTATGCGGTGTCTCCCAGCACAGTCTCAAGAGCATGGAGAAGATTCCAGGAGACAGGAAGTTACTCTAGGAGAGCTGGACAGGGCTGTATAAGGTCCTTAACCCATCAGCAGGACCTGTATCTGCTCTTTTGTGCAAGGAGGAACAGGATGAGCACTGCTAGAGCCCTACAAAATGAGTTCCAACAGGCCACTGGTGTCAATGTGTCTGATCAAACAATCAGAAGCATCCTTCATGAAGGTGGCCTGTGTTCATTGCCCGGCACCATAGAGCTCAATTGGCTTTTGTCATTGAACACCAGAATTGGCAGGTCCACCACTGGCGCTCTGTGCTTTGCAGATGAGAGCAGGTTCACCCTGCGCACATGTGACTGACGTGAAAGGGTCTGGAGAAGCCGTGGAGAACATTATGCTGCCTGCAACATCGTTCAGCATGATCATTTTGGTGGTGGGTCAGTGATGGTCTGGGGAGGCATATCCATGGAGGGACACACAGACCTCTACAGGCTAGACAATGGCACCCTGACTGCCATTAGCTATCAGGATTAAATCCTTGGACCCACTGTTAGACCCTACGCTGGTACAGTGGATACTGGGTTCCTCCTGGTGCACGACAATTCCTGGCCTCATGTGGCGAGAGTATGCAGGCAGTTCCTGGAGGATGAAGGAATGTATACCACTGAATGGCCACCATGCTCACCTGACATACATCCAATAGAACACCTCTGGGATATCATGTTTCGGTCCATCCGACACCACTAGGTTGCACCTCAAACTGTCCAGGAGCTCAGTGAGGCTTTGGTCCAGATTTGGAAGGAAATACCCCAGGACACCATCCGTCATCTTATTAGGAGCATGCCTTGATGTGGTCAGGCATGCATACAAGCACGTGGGGGCCATACAAACTACTGAGTACCATTTTGAGTTGCTGCAAAGAAATTTCAGCAAAATGGACTAGCCTGCTGCATAATTTTTTTCACTTTGATTTTCGGGGTGTCTTTGAATTCAGTCCCCTGTAGGTTTATTACTTTAATGTCCATCAAATGATGGGGCATCCTTACGTTTCTAATATATTACCCAGTCCATATCAGTATAGATATCCAGCATATTTTTCCCCATTGAGATCTGATGTGTTTTCAAAGTGTTCCTTTAATTTTTTTTGAGCAGTATGTGTATGTATATAACACAAAATGTGATAATACATTTCAACAGCACCAGCCCACCAATAACTTATTTGATGAAGTGAAAAGTAATACCTACAAGTAGTAATAGGTTTTCAGGTGCACATGGTAAAGTGACATTTTATTGCTTTTTTTTTTGCAGTTATTCTTAATCTGCCCTTACTGCTCGACAGAAGTCAATTATTTAATTGGCTTCTGTCGAAGGAACATGCTAGAAATTTTTTGGATGATCAGTGGCTACAGTCAATCAGCTTCAGCCACTGATCAGTGTATTGGACCAGTGGGGAAGAAGTGGTGGATGGCGGAATCTTTTTTTTTTTTTTTTTTCATTTTGCCTGCTGACTGAAGGAAGAAAAACTGTATGACCAGCCTTATGTGTTAACTAAAATTGACAATTCCTACCCCACATATGCCAATGGTAGTTAGAGACCCAGTAGCCATAAAACCTATTTGTATGCCAATGTAATTGTTCTTTATTTGTAATTACCACTGTCACATCTCAGAATTTCTTTTTTGTACAAACTACACCTATAGGCAGGGAAAATAATGTAAAAATCCAGCACTCAAGGATGTGTTGGATTATTCTTTTTGGCTGGCTACTAACAGGCGGATCCCAAACACAGCCTGTGCAAATTTAGACAGCTTCACTGCAAAACATAGCCTCAGCGATTTTTCTACGTGTTGAGGCTGTATTTGGGAGCCACTCAGTGCTCCAAATACAAAAAAAAAAACAATATTAACTATCATAGTGCATGTATCAAGTGCATGGTACTGTGTTGCAGACGCTCTGTGGCCGCATGTAATGCACATGGTTTCTGTGGCCTTTCAATTATTAACCAAGGTAGGGAAGGAGGCAACAAATATTGCCTCTGATCCGCCTGCTAAATGTCGCAGAAAAGTGATTCACTGTGGACTGCTTTTCAGAGGTACAGTACACAGACACACATCTGTGAGGCCTAGCATTAAATGTTTCTACACCAGTTTGCATTCAGGAATCAGACGTAGCTGGTCACTGCAGAAATATAATTTGCACCAGCCTAGGACTTCACTAGATGTTAGATTTTAACTCAAGTTTAAGGACCATTGCAGTGAGGCTATATATATATATATATATATATATATATATATATATATATATTTTTTTTTATTTTTTTTCAAGCAAAACTTTCATTTGAGGTAACTACCTTTAGAGCGGCTGCATGATGAGACATCGTCCTTCCGACCCGTTTGTCACTGCTGAATTGCTGAATATCTACTATCCATTCCTCACACTGAGCCATGATCTCTGCTCTCTTCAAGTAAAAATGTTTATGAATCACCTACAACAGAAGAAAAAACAAACAGTTTAGACTGCATCCTGATCCCTTTACCTTCCTGAGTCCAGCTTATGAACAGGAACCATTCATAACCGCTTTTGTACAAAGTAGGAGCTACCTTCCCTCCTTCCAGGAGACTTTACTGAGATTCAATACTAGCCCTAATGTAGCTCTATGCATCAGTTGGAGGACATGAAAGCTGAACTGGAGCATCTGTTCGATAAAGTGGAATATTGGAACTTGTGAATAAAAGATAGCTTTGAATAACTGCTAGAAAGCTAGTGATTACCATCACAACCTGCTAGAATGCAGCAGGCCAATTTACACAATGTTCACTATATGGTAAAAAAAAGACCAAGGAGAGGCAGAAAGGATCAATATGTTCGTATGCAGTGTAAAGGAATAGGGTTTACATGGAGAGATACACAAAAGGTATGGAGAGAGGAACATAAAGTGGTGGCTGAACATAAAATGGCGGCTTGTGTATCCACTGGGGAAAAGTTACAAAGGACAAAAAAGAACAGAACATGCAAGTTTTAGAGAAAAAGCAACCACTAAATACTGTACCATTTCCAGCACAGGATCTACTTCTTTCTAATAGCAGGTCTTGATTCTGCCTAGAATCTCTGCTTTCACATGGGATGGAGTAAGTG